TCGTTCTGGTCATAACGGTCGACACTAACTGGACAACTGCCTATCACACGCAAGTAATACATTTACTCACTACACCCTAATCTGCGGCTTTTCACCCACAATGCCGCACATTTTCCCTTCATGAATACCACGAGGCATGCGCCTTTCACGACAGGTACAACGGATTAACGGCTTAAGATTGCATCAAACCGGCGACTCGGAGTTTGGAGTTCACACACACACATACGCTTTTCTTCACGCTTTGTCTCTTTGGGACCGCGAAACCATACAAAGACTCTCGGGAGTATAACAAGAAACTGAACCCCAGAGAACAGGTTTCTTGGGTCTGGCTCGGTTGGTTTGGCCAGTAAGGGGAACTCTTTTTCCTGACTATCGCCGCCACATACACATACAAACACACACGCACGCACAATGCCTTCCCCATGACTGTCAGTTATTCGGCCTTCACTTTGAAACCTGCGTGTGTGCGACAGCCAGACGCGACTGGTCTCTTTCTCAACAGGAGGGAGATTTTCTTTTTTTCTTTCCAATTATCATCATCATCAGCAGGCAAGAGGAATCAGGGTTTTCCTTTAATCATGGGCTCTATTAGCAGCAAGATTGCTTCCGACTACAGATCCACACCTGCTACCATGGGCGGCGTGTTCGGCATTGCATCTCAGATATCAGATCTCCCACGTCCGATGAGGCTTGGAATTTCTCGTTTGGGCCCAATTGGCCTGGATGATTGTAAGGTTGGATTTCCGAAGATCCATTCGGGAGGAGGAATAGCCGGGGAGTGGCGGAGTTACATTTTCGACGGATATTGGCTCGTCAAACCCTTGCAATACACGCAATGGGTGTAGACGGATAATGGGTCCTCGAAGAGGAACCGTTAGAAAGCCTCGTTTGTTTTGCTTTTTTTTTTCTTTTCATCTGGATTCCGGACGGTGGGACGGTTAGGCAAGTGGTTTCACGGTGGCTGGCTCAATAAGTCACCACCTCTCTTCCTTGGTTGTGATATGGGGGCGGCGGCTACAAAATGATGGCTTCGCGGCAACTGAAGATTTAAGGTCCATAGACGGTAGTGATCTCGCGCGCAATGTCTTGCGACGCCAGAGATCCAATTTGCTCAATGCTAGAGACACACTACAAGGTAGTTGGTTTGATTCGTGGTGTACCTGTGATAAGGCCCATTTCCGTACGCCGAACCAGCCTGGCTGGTGCCAATCACTCGTCGGACGGCGGTAGAGCCGGCGAAACTCGTGGTGCGTGTGTATAGCAGACAGATCGCGCTATTAAGGCCTTCTCTTAATTACTAAGTATCATCTACCTGGTTGTACATTCTCGTATCGCGCAACACTAAAGCTATCGATTGAAGTCCTGACGACGGTCCATTCCGGACATGCGGGGGCTTCGGCGGGAGCGGCCCCGTATCGAAAATTGTAGAGAGGGGGTGGGAATCAAAGCCCCCCCCCCTCCCCATTGGGGGAGTCAGCTATTGTACACCCGACTCTTCTTCCACCGATCTTGATCTACCTCTACTTCCACCACCCACACCCAACCCACCCAGATGTCAGAGTTGCTGCCAGGGAGCTAGGCCGGTCACCGTACCTATCTGACGTTATCATTCTGCAACCCTCTTTTCCCACATAACCAAACCCCTCCCAGAATGTAACATAAGGTGGACCGTGTGTGATCTGGACTCGGGTCTCACAAGCGTAAGATTTACACGAGCTGAACGGGCGTGGATCCTTGCACGAGGCGGAGACGGGAGGTTACCAAGTCGTGTAGTGTAAGGGGGGCGCGCCGTCATCATTCACGGACACACACACCTATCTCACTTCAGCCACCTTCACCCCCCCACTCACACCTCTACCGCCACCCCTTCACCTTGTCCTCGGAGCCCTTGTCTCAGCTGCCAGCGTGCCACACAACCAAGCAGATGATGCGAATTGTTTGTTTCCGCAAACCCGCCTGTAGCCGGGCAACGATGCCATCCATACGCTTCGCCAACATCGACATTGCCTCCTCTTACAACTCGGTGTGGACCATTAAGTGTTCTTTGACCTCCTGCAACTTGCTGATGTCCATGACTCATAATTGTCATCTTTTGGGGTATATGAATAAGTCGGTGGCTCGACCCCAGCTAACGTGTTGCGATGCGAATGTTTTGCTTATTTCAGCAGTGGCCAAGCCACAATGAGTTTTCGTGATCAGAGAACCTTCGAATCCCCATCATGGCATGTGGATGGCTCTTGACATACTTCAGCCCTGTCTTTCTGGAGAGCCGTGGGTTATGATGACGCTGGTGTACAAGCGAATGTCTTTGTGAACTCGAGAAACACCAATACCATGCTTCTTCTCGATTCGCCTGGTCGAGTATTGCTGTCATAGGCTTCTATCTCGTATGGCCATTGGCAGGCCTCGCTCCAAGCGCACTGTCACTCACTCCAGTAGCGTAGCCATTGCTCTTTTCATCCGCCAACGCTCTCTTCTTTTTCTCGGCTTCGTCGTCGGCATCGGTGACTTCGGCGTCACTGCGATCGTCTTCCGCAATGTCGTAGCGAAGGAAGCGGTAGGCAATGCGGAAGATGTGGAACAGCCAAAAAAGATTTAGTGCTTGGAGAGACGCAAGAAGGCCGAGAGTAATGTACTGCGAGAGCGTGCACTTGTACTGCTGAGTGGCCCAGTTTAATTCGAATGGGCCGACGGTAGTGTACTCCGTAAAAAGGGAGAGGATAATTTTTAGGTTGATGAAATGACGTAGGTAAATCCAGACGCACATGAAAAGGAAGAAGTAAGGCCCCACAATCGGAGAATCGATGTAGTTAAGTACTTTGGACGTCTATCAAAACGTGTCAGTGATCTCTCTCCGTTCCTTGACTGATATGTCTCTTCAATGGGTTGGTATTATTGAAAAGGGGGGCTGTACTTACTGCGAGGAAGAAATCGCTAATGTCGTGTGTAGAGTAAACCGCCAATCCCATGTACGTAAAGTGGAAACGGTAGCTAAGGCCGATCAAGGCAAGACTGACAATGTGATGACCAACCAACTCCTTGAAGTCCTTGCGAGGCTTCTCCATACCCAGCAGCAAGACGATTGCTTGTTGAGCCCAGTATGCGGCCTGGAAGAGGTAATAGAACTTGAAGCCGGCATTGTGTGTTAGGTGCGGGAAGTGCTCGTACATGCCGCGCGTGTTGTAGTACCAGACGGGTGTCTTGCTCATGACGTATAAGCCGGCGGGACCAAGGCAGCCAAAGTAGATGGCGGTGTACATCTGCTCCATGAAGCGAGCCTGCTTACCCCGGGATCGAATGCCGGCGGTGCGGGCTAGAGGTCGCAGGAGCTCCTGCATGACGAATTCGCGAGTGAAGGTCAGGACGACCGTGTAGAAGGAAACGAAAGCAATGTCCCAGAGACCCTTGCCATACTGAGCCGGGGCACCAGGGCTGGCGGCATCGGGCGGCAAGCGGTAAGAGAGGAATATGAAGCGATGGATTGGGTTCGAGCTGTTAGGGTTGACGGCATAGAGGCCGGCGGTAATGGCGATGATAAGGGCGGGCAAGAGGTACGTGCGTTTAGTCATGGCCTGACGAACGCGAGCAAAGCCGCCGCGAGCACGCCGGCGTTTGGAGAGACGTTTGGTAGGTGTGATCTGGAAGTGATGGACAGTTTGTCAGCCAATGCTATACGCACAGTTGTAGAGAGCCTAGCTGAAAGCTTAGTCTCTGTAGAACAAGGCCCGGCAGGTGTATGGAGAGGAGAGACGGGAGGGGGTTATTACGGGTGCAACGGGGCCGTCGATGGCGCCGTAGGTTGCGAGGGCGGGACCCGTGTCGCCGGCTCGAATGTCTTGGCCAAGTGCGCTTGACTTTCGTCGTCTTGTGGTCGTGGTTGTTCGAGACGGGTTTGGGGAGTAGTCGACAACGGCGTGCAATTGGTCGAGGGAGGTGTTGAGAAGAGGGAATGGTTCGGAGTCGGCCATGGTGTCAGGAGCTTGCCGCTGCAGGCGCTCTCGGTCGTTTAAAGGAGATGGGTTTCGGAGGAAGGGTGTCGGGATGATGGGCGCAATGAGGTAAGAGGACGACAGGCGGGCGAGTTAGTGGGTAGAGCAAGAGAGACAGAGAGATGGAGAGGCGGCGACTTTGGCTTTGGAAGCTTTCGGCGGGTGCGGAGATGGGAAGCCGGACAAGGAAGTCGTGGGTTGAAAAGGATGGATCAGTTTATTAGACGTCGAGAAGGTCAGGGGGTCGTTGTCGATCATGGAAGTTTGGGCAGGAAGAAAGACAGGGCGGGCTGGTGGAGCAAGAGGAGCTGCTGGCAAAGTGCAAGAGCAAGGGCACCGCTGGTGGATCAAACTCGAGGACGAGGTCAAGGTTGTTCCCTGAGTCTTCTGTGTTTCGCCGCGGGCATTCGTCTGACCGAGAGAGCGGTCGTCTGGTTTTCTTTTGCAACCGCAATGCGGTCAAAGAGCAGCAGCAGCAGCAGCAGCAGAGGAGCAGGAGGGAGGTCCGCAGGAGAGATGAGTCCAAACACACAAAGGATCAGACACGAAGGGGGAGAGAGGGGAAGGAAGACGGAATGAGCAAACAAACGCACGGCTGTCGGGAGCCATGAGATTGAACCAAATTGCAATTTGCAAACTGCAGACTAGAGGGAATCAAGCATGGGTAGTTAGTCTACGAGTAGAAGATCACGGGGAGGGAACGAAGAGAACGGCACGTAGACGTAGAAGGGAGAAAAGCAGACGGGGGAAAAAAAGAGAGAGAAAAAATTGTACGTGTACACATACACCTGTACCCCAGAAAAACGCCACAAACCAATCACACGAGAGTCGTAGGAGCCAACAATACAATGGGGTGCTTGGTAGCGATGGTTAGTCTGCCAGGGGGGGAGGACGCTTGCTCGGGGCGCCCCATCGTACCCGTGATCACCCCCTGCTTTTCATTCCAGGCCCTAGACAGCCAGCCTTACCTCATCTTGCATTCAATGTCCCCGCTGCAGGAGACCTGCACTGTCACCACTTGGGCATCTTGGCTGCGCCGTGTGCCTGGACTCATTTGCCATGCTATGCAGTGCAGTGCAGCGTGGCAGTCGCCGCAGCACAGCACATGCGCCGGCGTTGCATGGGATCCCTTCACTTGGTAGCTTATCACGTGTCGTCCTCCTCTCTCCACCTTTGCCAACTTCACTACACTACAGTACATCCACCACCATACACTTCACGCCTAACCTTTGCCACGATATCAACAACACAGCCAGGGACACCCTTCCCGCAATGGGCGCCATGGCATACAAACGAGAGCAGAGATGTCTCCGGCTCATGCCCGAGTTTCACAAAGCTCAAATGCGTATTGCCTCGGAACTTAATGCACTGGAGCTATGAGCTGGCAGCTTTGCGAATGACTCGGTCGAGTCAATCCCGCGATCGACATGGGACGTGGCATTCACCAGACAGAGTCTGCACTTACGGAGACTCTAGTGAGATGTATTACATCAACGCCGACAATCAAGGACAAAGGCCGACACGAGGCTTCGTTCCTGGTGAAGGAAGCTCGACATTCGAGAGGTCTCGGACACGCTGCAATTTATCGACGGAGCTCCTTTTGAATAATATGGTGCGGTATTCAGTGCCAGTTCTCAGCCTCGGTTGACTCTGAAATGGTGCTTAAGAATCACAGCTCCACCATCTTTCATTGCGCCTTGTTATATGTCTACCGGCCGACTCTCAAACAGCAAGACTCAAAGACCAGGAGGATAATAATACCTTCCCCACTTGATGAAGAAGGCGCCGGCGACATTCTAGGCCGCACAGCAAGCTGCATGTTATGCTGCGCGTCATACGTAGTCAGTTTTTTGCTTGACTAAAAGCCATCGCTAGGTATTTGGCACCCACTAGACCACTAAACCGGCCCACACCTTGACGGCCCCAATTGCATCATCAGCTTCATCGTCCTTCATGCTTCGCCCGCCTCACGTTGCATGTGTTTGCTTGCCTTAAAAAAGGCACGCATCGTTATCTTTTCCCACACACAGCAGCTACTGCATCACCAATGGAGCAAACCTCCATCGAGACAGTGTCAAGAGCGAGCATATGACGGGGAAACAATAAGAAGACTGTCCTTTCTCTCATATCTCAGATCTCGATTACCCCTCCCCTCTCCCCCGTCACAAACTTACCACCCCAGTCTGAGCCAGGAGGCTAGTGCGCCCCCCCCACCCCGCATACCTACCCGTGTGCCTGCTCGCCATCTCTCACTGTCAACCATCCCCGCTACCTACCTAGGTAAGAGCCAAGGTAGGCAGATACCTCACATTATTGCGGGTAGCTTTCCGGAATAGAACTGAAGAGACGGAGCCCGCTCCCACGCTGCCGTCGACATTCCCAGATTGGGCGTCCCATCACTCACGGGACGCCGTGCGCGTTGCACGGCATCTCGCTGTTCGGAAATCTTGGGGCCAGTCTCCTCATCCTCAGTCAGCACTTTTCCTCCCTCTGGAACCTATCGAGATTGCCACGTCCGCAGGTGACGGGGCAGTCAGTCAGTCACCCCCACGGCTTACTCACACGAGGGGCGGCTCACCGACGACTTCTTCTCATCACGCAGTGTACCTCCCTCCCAGACGCCGTAGGGCCTTCATCACGGACACCGACGAGCATCGTCCCACACTCTCGTCAGCGACGCCGCTTGCGTGTCGCCGCCCGCCAACCACTGCCGCCTACGCGCAGGGAATTGGCAATCATTCCACGCCTCCCTCCCCAGCGGAATGCATCCCTCTACGGGGGGGGGGGGGGGGGAAGTGGCCTACTTAGAGCTCGACAAAACGTTTCCTCTGCCGCCGCTCGCGGACAAAAGGCCCAGTCTGGTAGGACAGCCAATCCTTGTCCGGACGCCTTTCCATGTAATTGCTGGTCTTGCATGATCCCAATCTACGCGCATGTGGCTCGAACATCGAAGCAGGCAGGCGGCAGAGGCAGCAGCAGGTAAAGTGGTTGAATGTTAACTGATTTGAATTCACTAGCGCGGCTATCGCTTTAATCTTCCTCTCACCACCTCATGTCCATCCCCCTTTTCTGACAGCGTCTTGGTATCTCCTCCCATCCCCCTTCCACCTTTTGCTGTCCTCGCCCACATGAGGTCTTCTTATTCCCTAGCGCGTTGGCCTGTGTTCCTCCCCATCTCCCCTTGCTTGGTCATCTGGAGTGTGACTGCTGCCCCATGAAATTAAAGCCATCCAAACGCCTATCTAAGCCTGCGTCGCCAGCATGGCTGTTGTTCCACTTCGTTCCAAACATATACACGGGTGCCGGTACAATGGCCCCACTCATTATTTCGCAGAAGATAAAGTTTTTGGTTCCCCCCTGCCCTGTGGGAGGCATCGCCGCCCATATACGTCTCGCCCCATCCGCAATGTAGATAATTTGGTTGGTTGGGGGGGGGGGGGGGGGGGGGGGATGAAATATCAGATGAAAAAATAACCAAGGCTCGTGTAGGAGGGAGCCGTCCGTTGTCCCCGCCCCTTGGTGATGCGCCGTTATGCTCGCTTCCGATGCAGAAGATGTAGAAAAAAAAAAAAGGCTAATGGCGCCACGCTTATCGCTTTTTCAAGATCGACAAAGAAACTCGTTCAGCTGGATGGAATCGTTCAGAGATTAGGCGGCGAGCCCAAGTCATCCCCCGGTCGCCGACCGTGGGAGGGCGGTCTGGGGGACTGAGGCTCGTGCTCGTGTTGTTGAGATCGTACGCCAGGCCAGAGTGGCGGTCTGTTCAGTTGCAACGAGGCCGACTCTGCGGATTGGCTCGCGTCTCGTGACTGGTATGAGTAGTTGCTGGCTGTCCTGTCGAGTGCCGCACGCTCTGGGGATTCTTGACCTCTCTCTTCGAGCACCTCAGCCAGTGCCGTACCTTGCCTCGGCGGCGCGGGGATGACGGTTACTGGTAGACTATCTGTCTCGGGAGTGGGGCGCATCTTTTCTCTGATCTTCTCGACTTGTGTTGCGGCAAAGTCTTCCAAACGAGCCCGGAGATCCCATATTTCATTATCGTCATGGCCATTACAAGTCTCTGACTTGCACTCTGCATGGGCCATCACCTCGGCGGGCGGGTCGCGAGTGGTCCGTCGGAAGAGGGGCTTGGTAACAATAGATCTCCATCCGTTTCTGCCTCTTGCGGCAATTTCTTCCTGAGCTTCTGTGTCGATTTCAACAGCCTTGTGAGTAGCTTGTCTAGGAATGGGCGCCGCCATCGACGCGTCCTCCTCGGTGGAGGTTGGCTCGCTTCTTGAAGATGTCGAGTGGCTTCTGGCCGTGGCGGCTGCGGTATTACGTTGAGGCTGGTTAGCAACCTGAAGAGGGGGGGGTTCTGGTGTGCGCGAGGTCGTTTCCGATGGCAGTTGGTATCTGACAGCGTATACGGTGCTCGCCGCGCTTGTTGTGTCGGTTCTGCTCACGGGAGTTACCGCCGGGGCAGGCCGAGAAGGCCAAACCGGCGGGCGCAATAGACCACCCATGGATCTTTGGTTGTTCTGAGCGTGGTTCGGCTCACCGTTGGCGTGGTTAGCGCGATACCTCGAGGCGATCTGTGTCATGCCGGGCCAGAGATTGGCTCTGCCACTGGCAGGGGGACCTTGAGCGCCGGCACCACCTTGAGGGCCATCTTGGCCACCGTCACCTCCATCGCGGCCACCGTTCCTGTTCTTCCTTCTCCTGAGCCATGGGAACTCAGAGGCGGATACTTCCAACATTTCGTCTCCGTCAAAGATCTCGCGTCCGAGGATGCCGTCCTTCTTTTCCTCTCTCTCCAGCGCCTCGATCCTCTCCACCCATTCCCAAACCACCACGCTGGCAGCTGCGGCACCAACCCAGCGGACGTAGTCTCCCCATCCCGTAAAGTCGGGCTGTGCCATATCCAGCACGAAGAAGAAGACCGGGACGAGAATGGCAAAGAGGGAAAGGGCAGAGACCAAAACCATGTTCTTCATCAACGGGTGATAGAAGGCGTATCGCTTCTTCATGAGCGAGTAGTAAATAACCCAAGCAGCATACAAAAGGCCGAGGGAGAGTTGGAATAAGTAGCTGAGAGCGGGAACAGCGTCGACAAAGCTTCGAGGACGGCCGTTGCCGTTGCTCCCGCTGGTGGGGTACTGAAAGCTATTGAGTGCGCTAAAGATGAGGTTTAAGGTGATCAACGCGAATGCAGTCCACTTGATGATAACCTTTTCCCGCTGGCGCGGGAAGAGTCGGATGAGAGTTTGGGCCTGCGCAAGCCACAAAAATGTGTCGGAGATCAGGCGAATGACCTTTAGTTCGGTGCCGTCCAGGACCTCCGATTGCATCTTTTTGGCGTCTTGGATTGCCCACTGGTACTGTTGCTCCGCAACTTTAAACGTGTCGGCGCTGGCTATTGTGAGAGAGATTGCAACGGTTACCGCGGCCACTTTCTGCAGCCACGGTCGTCCTCCAATACTGATTCCATTCGATGTTCCACCACTGGTAAATCCGCGTCGACCCAAGTACACGACACCGCCGTCGAGAAAGGAACGAGGTGTGATGAAAAGCATGATAACGAGCATGTAGGATGTCACTGTCGTCGCGGCGAGTGCGTAGCAGACAGGGAAAATGGAAGCGTAGAAGGGGTCGCGCAGGTCGTTGTATTGTACCGCGCCTCCGGTCGCGGTTTCTTCGTTGTTGACGCCATTATTCGCGACAATGATGGGTGCAGCAGAGATGAATTTCGCCGCAGCGGCCCCAGCAGCCCCAAGAGAGGGCAGAGAGCTGTCACTCATGGTTGCGGCGCCTACTCGTCGAGATGCTTGTCGATGAGGAACAGAGCGGCCAGCCGCAGGTGAGGATCTAAAGAGGCTTCCTCTTATTCGTGAACACTCGCCATCGAATAGACGTGGCAGTCGTCGGTGGTTTCGCAGTGCCGATTGACGATGGCGTCGGGGTTGTCGTTATCGCCGTCGTCAATGTCGGTGGACGCGGGTATTCGGGGAGACTCGGTCGGGCGGATGGCTGCAGCGAGAGTCGAGGGACAAAAGTCCGGGGACGATTTGAATTTCGCGCACAAGGCTGTTTGTTAGAGAACCGACGTGGAGTTCGGCGGACGAAGCATCTATTGTTCAAGAAAAATCCTCCAGCGATGAGCAGAATAGCGACGAAGTGTCACACAGTCGAATTGTTAATAAACCGGGTCGAAGTAGAAATCGTCGGTGGCTATGATGGAGAATAGGTCCCAAGAAGGCTTGTGGGTGGGGGATGTGGGAGGGATCGCAGGCTGGGCGCCGAGAGATTAATGGGAGGATAGGAGGGTTTTGGGGGGGTTGAATAAAGGGCGAAAGGGGGAGGCCGAGGGAAGAAGACGGGTCACTATTTCGGGGGGCCTGACGCATCCGCAGTAGACCGGTAAGGTAGCGCCCTGTATATTTTGGCGCTTTGCAAATCGTGCTGGCCTAATCTGGCGCTTGCTGTTGGTGGTGGTGGAGTCGTCGACCGTCTCGAAAGTGTTTTGGACTAACAGTTCGGGGGGACGCGGATGGATATGGGAGAGGGGGGAGAACAGCAGCGACGCACTGTTACTTTCTCTCCTCTCTCTCTGAGGGGGGGTGGTGGTGCTGACGGCAGCGGGTAGCTGTGTGAGGATAGCAAATCACACTGTAGTGGGTGCACCGGGATGCTAACCCCACGCCCCTGCATCCGTCTGAGTTCGCCAACTGTGTTAATTGCTACCGGATACGAACTTGACCCGACAACTAGTGCATAGTTGAGGCCACGGGGATGAATGGAGTTCGGTGCCTTCCATCTGGGACACACAATCGGCTCACTGTACAATACCGAGTCAGAGGCACCGGCTCTCCAGACGCTGCGCGATCGTATGCTGACAGCTTGGCGGACCCAGACGGGGGCGATCTACGGAGACCAAGAAGAAGGGTCCTTCCATGCGTGGGCATGGCTGCATAGCAGTGCCTAGACGCCATTCAATATGAAATCTTCGATCCGTACATACCACCACGAAGCTCAATTCCAAAGTCTTGCCACACTTAGAAGCTGCTTTTTTTTTATCGTGAGAGAGTACGAGGTGCCCATCCCCTGGCACCTGGGTAAGGCTGCAAGAAACCGAGAAACTCGAGAGTGAGGTCCAATCCTATCGCATAAAGAGGAATACGGGCAAAGACTCTCTCTTCACCGGAGCCCCCGGTAACCCAGCCATCGAGATCGGACAAAGGAGGGGAGGGGAAGTTGGTAAGTGGGCAAGTCACCTGTCGCTCGCGCCCGCATTGCACGTTTTGACAAGAGAATTGTTCCAAAGACTTGAGGGTATAACATCGCGACGGCACCCAAAGCGCTTGAGGGGATGTTCGAATGTATGCCTAGGTATTCTCTGCGGGTTGCAGTATTTGTCTACGGTAGTGTACTGAGAAGTGAACGACGCGCTGGAGAGCTCTTTCTTTCTTGTTTTATTTTCTTCCTTTGCGCCTTCTTCTTGTTCTTTCTCTTCTTCCCTCAACGTGACAAGAATGGCAAATGGACGCGACGAACCGCAGCAGTACGTACCATACTGCCTGAGTCGTCAGCCACACGTGCACGGCGTCTGTGAGGGGATACGTACTAATATACCGGTATTACCTATGCAGGGAACGTACCGGTACTGCCGCGATAACTGAGACACCGTACGCCCGACGCTGCGTAGACTGAGCAGGCTACAGTACTATTACATGACCTGTGCCCACGGCTAGAGAGCCATCCGCGTACATAGTACGGAGTACCGTAAGTAAGTGCACGTACAAGCGGGAGGTGGTTAGCCCCCACCCCCTTCGCGCCTCGAGGAAGACGCCCTGAGACAAGGAAGGCAAAAGTCGTGCTGATCAAGGACGGGATTTCAGACGGCCGCCATCGGTCCCTTGGACCCAGAGCGTTTTGTCTTGGCTCTTTGAAACACAAAAGGAAATGGTAAAAGAAAGAGCTGACAAAGTGTGCGTCCCCTTCTCAACTTTATTCTAATTTGGCATCCCCTCGTCGCATCAAAATGCTGAAGTCACGAAAACAAAAACATTGAGAAGGAGGGTTTGAGGGGAAGCGGTGACATCAATCCGATCCTCATCTATCGTGGCTCCGCCAACTCTAAAAACTGGTGTGTGCTGTGCCTCCCGTAGTCGCCGTCCCCGACCTACACCCAGCCAGGCGACGTCAGCTGGATCTCTGGTGGAAAAAGCCAAACCTGATAGTCATGTATATACCTACCTACCTACCTACATTACTGTGTATGTACTTACATGAACCACCTAGATACGTTGGACGGTTGGATATTGTCGACGGTGGACACCATCTAAAGTAGTCAAAGGTGGACGAGAAGAGGCCTTGCGAACGCGTCCCCTGCCCTAAAGAAGCCTAGCCTGCCTTTTGCCCTGCCTCGCTTCGACGGCCACTGGCCTGGATGGGGAAATGATGGAATGGACCTGCCCATGGAAGGATCCGGCACTGTGTGGGGGGAGGTGTGTTCTCGCCCTTCCGCCCACCCTCATCTGTCCGTGTGCTGTCCAATGGGGGCACATCCTGAACCAGAAATACGGATCACATGCAGCCCGCGCGGACCAACGTCCTAACGGGCAAATGGCTTGTAGGGGCTGGGTGGCCACTCTTCTGCCTACCACCTTGACTGTGTCGCCGCTTCCCCTTTCAATCGAAACCCATTACGGAGTACTCAGTAAGTATTCGCTGTCAAGCTGATTAGGGGGGATGGCACGTCGATGGTCACCAACGAGTCGTTGATGACATTGTCGATATATACACAAGGTGCACCACCTACAAGCGACGACCATATCTGACTTCTAATCGTACGTTGCTGCAGAGCACCCTACGCAAGCGCTGCTGCCATGCCCTGTCAAAGAACCATCCGTGCAAGCCGTGCCACACAAACTCGCTCTCGGGAGGCGGGTGACCTTCAGATCGAAACCTGACGTTGGCTTACTGTCTCACACCACACCATTCATTACCTGAGCCAATGAGCAATTTCGGACCGTGTGGGCTGCATCGAACCCCGCAGACCACCACAGTCCTGCAATAAATATCGCCTAACCAGCGCAAAGTTGCAGCTGCAGGCAAACGAACAGGCGTCTCAATGTCCGGGCGTGTTGGGGGGGGTGCTCGATGATGTTGCTCTGGACATGGGATGTGCCCTGTCTCAGTACCTAGGTAGGCAGGTGTGTGGTCTAGCCCGCTAGACTCGACCATCCATACTTTCCCTGTTTTGTTCATTTCTTTAACCGTAGGTACCTGGGCCTACAGTCGACGATGGGCTGGCGGGTGGCTTGGACTTGTTCTTGGCTTTTCCCCCCTCTCTCCTCCTTTCCTCCCCAGTCCCCATGCTTCGTAGTGTACATCACACTTTTTCCCCCAAACCCAAAAACCCAAACCCACAGTCCCACCCGGCCTTTTTCCCACACCTGCCCGTCTTGGCTTTGGTTCTCTTGGCAAAGCTTATCGCTCGTGGCCGGCCACAGGCTTGGCGATTCTCCCGTCTGTCGCTATCGTCCATTCCTTCTTCTTCCCCCTTCCTTCATTCCCGTCCATTGTCTGGTTTTTTTTTTTTTGTTTTTTTTTTTGTTTTTTTTTTTTTTTTGCGCGGGTGGGGGAGGGTTGCCGCTGCCGCTACCGCCGCCACAAAGAGTATCTGAATCCTCCCGCCCAACTGTAAAATCCGACGTCGTTCCAGACGAACTGCATCTGTACACGCATTTCGTGCCACGTTCTGACGTCAGCAGTATGATCCAACCATACAGGTTGCTTCACTCTCGAGATTGCCGCAGCGGCCCGCTCACAAGTTGCCCTATCGAGTCTCCCAAATACCCCTCATCGTGTCAGTTCACATTCAAAGGTACATGACTTGTTGGCCTTATTCATTTGGTTTTTCAATCTTTTTTCTTCTTAGTTCATTTGTGTCAGGCGACTTTTTTGCTATTGGATAGCCAGAGGCCGGCGGCAAAGTGGTAGCGTCTCACTTGAACGGGCCTCCCTGATCAGCACGCATCTGCACAGGCCAGCAAGCGACCACCTGTGTCGCCTCCGGGAGCCGGCGCCCGTCGTTTCCAGACAGCCGGCGCCTTTCGAGGAAATGACTCGAGGAAGGTTTGCCAAACGTACCCTGAGTCGCATCACTGTCAACCACCAGCATGATGATTGGGCTACGGCACACCAGCGCCTTCGTTTCCATCTCCTGGAAATCCGTGGCCTTTTGTCCACTTCCACATTCTAACCATCCGAGGAGCACTTTGACCAGCCCACCGTGACCCCATCTCCATCATTTCCATCGTCCCTTGGTTCAAGGCCGATCTGCTCTGCCCGCCTCATAATCGAGACCAGGTCCTTAAGTCTTGAGGAAGTTGCGGCAGCCCGACGGTGCTGTCCCAAACATGACGTGGAACGGACCGCAGCAACACGTCCCAAGGCCGCTCGTGCGCTTTCCGGTTGGTGAGCCGCATCTGCCCTGATCCAGTACTGCGGAACAGGACCGCCACCTTGCTCGGAATCCGGACGCCTCTCCAAGTCGTTCCAGCACCAGTTTCGTTGCACTGAGATTTGCTTCTAGGCTGTTCAGGCTTCTCGAGCCATGTGCTGTCGACCCTCGCCCCGACCCCTCACCTGTGCCAACCAAGGGAAGGGGGTGACGCAGTAATCTCCTGATCTGGCATTGGAGAACGAGCAATTTCGCCCAAAAGAGAAACAAATGCCGGCTTTCGTAGAGATAACCACGCGCCACAGGCACCACACGCCCGTCCTCTGCTGTATCCCTCCTAGTCGGCGATTGGCCACATTCCCAAGCCAAGTTTCCATCTACAGTGGGATAGCAATATGACCGCATAAGCATCGCCAGCACCCGGCCTGTATGGGCTTCCCAATGCGCGTGAGGACGATGCGGGCCGGGAGGCTTACGGTATTTCCCACTAGACCGACGTCGCTGAGCTGCAGTCAAACCTGTTTTGCCGTCGATGCCTGGACTATGACGGTCCGGACGCTGAATGAATGATGAAGTCCTAGTTGCGAATGCCCCAATCAAGTCCGGCTGCTTTCATACGATCCATTGCCTGCCAGAACACATTGGTGGGTGTCATTCTTGGTACACTAAGGCAAGTGTGCCTACAAGGGGTGATTGTTGAAGTGGTCTTGACAACAGGTAGAGCTCTAGATGGCGAACCAGACCAGCCGCCGTACGTTATTGTTGTTATACTTAGCGCATGAGAACCTCACGCGGGCACAATTCTTGCGTGTTGATTTACGAACAATCTCAAAATAAGAAAAGGGCGTGCCGAAAGGGGGGGGTATCAATTGTATAGTAGACTTCGAGGTGCCAACATAGCTCCCACGCCGCCCTTATTCAGCCCTCCTGGTCGAACGAGTCGTTCAGGTACCCAACGAAGCTCTCTCTCATCCTCTCCACGCTGAAGCTCCCGACCCCCTCGAGCCCGATGCCCCCGCGGTTCAACCCGACAAAGGCCCTTCTCAGCCTCTGCAGCTGCGGCAGCCCGACCTTACGCCCGGGGAGCCTCACGACCAGGGCCTCGTCCGTCCCCGCTCCTGCCCCCGCCCCCGTCGCCCCGCGCGGGACCGTGACCTCCCCGCCCTCCTCCCCGCCCTCGCCCTGCGCCTCGAGCACGCGCCGGACGACATCCTGCGTCTCGCGGTCGAGCACGTAGAGGTAGTCCCCGCCGGCGTCGCGGCTGCGCTGGACGGTGGCCTGGTTGGGCTTGACGACCTTGCGCCCGGTCCCCGCGATGGCGTCCCAGACGTCGTCAAAGACCCGGGCCGCCTGCGCGGCGTCGTCGTCCCAGATGAGCGTGAATAGCGGGCTGTCCCAGCGCGTCATCGGGTTCGGCTCCTCGTACCGAAACACCAGGTTTTCCCAGTTGTCCGGCTCGTAAGGCTCTTCCTCCCCTCCCTCCTCCTCCTCCTCCCCCTCCCCGCCGGCGTCCGTCGTTGTCCTGTCGTTCGTGGCGGCGCCCTCCGCCGTCCCCGTGGTCGTGCTCGTAGTCGTAATCGCCGGCGCTGTCGTCGTCGTCGTCGTCGTCGTCAACGTCACCGCCGTTGCTGTAGGGGCACCCTCACCCTCACCTCTCCGCCTCCTCCTCTTCCTCAACCTCTCTTCGTTGACGCCCCTCGCCCTGTCCACCCCGCACCCTATCTGCAGCACCACGCTCGGCGTCTTCACAGCCTTGGCCTCGCAGTGCAGCTGGTACCGCCACCCCTTGATGTAATTGAGCCCGTCCAGGATGACAATGTCCCGGTCCGAGAGCACGCGCTTCACGGCGCCGTAGACGGCGGCGCGGGCGTCCTTCTCCGAGGCGTTGGCCGACCGCGTGTGCGCGCGCACCTTTTCCGGGTCGAGGTCGTAGACGTCGCGCGGGATCGAGAGGGTCGAGTCCGAGATGTAGTGGAGCCTGTACGGTGGCTGTTTGCCGCCCTCGCCCGGCGTCGAGGAAGAGGAGGAGGAGGCGGCCGCAGCCGCGATGCGGGAGGCGAGGTGGTCTTGCAACTGCTTCGCGCGGTGCGTTTTGCCAGACGTCGGGAGGCCCGACACTATGATCAACTATCGCGCGGGTGTCAGTAAACTTGCGCCGTTGACTTCCTTCGGTTGGCGCTCTCTCTCCCTCTCCCTCTCTCTCTCTCTCTCACACACACACACACACACACACACACACACAAACACACACACACTCACCGGCATTTTGGCTTTCTCTGGTTCCTCGTGCTCGTCACGTGTTGACGGCTTTTCTTGGGTTGCAGGGTCGGGAGACCAAGTGAGTGACAGACTTTTGGCGGGGTTTCTGGAGGGGGGGGTTTTTTTTTTCTTTCGCTCCAACGAAATCGGCTACCCCACCTGCTTAATTAGGACTTGTATAGCTGTCGCCCCCCAAGGATCAGTGAACCAAAGCACACGACAGAAGGGACAAAGCAATTTCCAGTAGATTTTCTTTCTTTCCGATCCTCTATAATTCCGAGTGTGGGTATCTTCCTGTATACGCCTAGTTTTCTCCCTTTGTAGCAAATACAATTCCTCCCAGATTTCTCGTGGAAAGGCCCTTTCAGTCTTCCATCATCTGGTCCCCATCATTATTTTCATCTTCACCGTCATCAAACGTATGTGCGACTATGATGTCGATGTAAAGCAACATGCGCTCCCCCGCCAGGTCCATCATCTCCCTGGCAAGCAGGTCCCGCGCATTTGGGCCCTTCCTGCCTCGGCCCGTACGGGTCGCGGTCGTCGCACCCCTCCTGCCTGAGCCCTTGGCCTTCGCCTCGCGCGCTTCGATGCCTTGGACCGTCGCCTCGCGGAGCCGATCGCTGGCTTCCCTGATGCCTTCCGCAGGGAGCATGTGGAGAAGGTTTTCAAGGATCAGCGCCACTCTGGCGTTGTCGTCCGGGTCGATGGTGTTAGCATTCGTACCCAGGTAGCACTGCTCCAGGACGTCGGCGTTGATGACGATGCCGTTGCCCTCGCCCTTGCAAACCTTCCTAGGATCCATGTATCCGCTGGGAAGCAGCTGATCCAGCTGTATGGTCAGGAGGTCAATCTTGAACGCACCGTCATAGCGCTGGACGTAGACGTTCATATCTGTGATGAATTGGTGGAAGAACGGCAGGGGCTGCTGCTTGAGCAGTCTACACAGCTCCGTCGCGTAATCATTGTGGTCCATGAATGTCTCCGGGAGGTTGTAGGCAACCTCGGACATGAGCTCCATCAGCCGCAGGCGGAGAGGCATAGATTCGGCCAGCACGGGCACAATGGCCTCGTCGGACTTGGTCTGCGGCATGCGCGAGGTGCGCGATGTTCCAGGCGAGCCCGTGTCCGAAGGCTCAGAGTCCGTCGGGTCGTTGAAGTAGTCGCCAAACTGGTCGTTTTCGATGTCGAGCGTGGCCATTCGCTTGCGTTTTTTGTCGTCGCTCGCGAGCCCCTTTGTCTCCTTGTTGAACACCTCGGGAAACTTGGCCATGGACGAGGTGGAGCCATCGGCGAACACGGCCTGCAGAATCATCCTCAGAGCGCCCCTGCCGGAGTCGGTCTTCTGCCGGATATACATGACCAGGATGGACTCGCTCATGTTGGCCCATTCCTGCGGCGCATCCGGAGAGGTTAGCGCGTCCTCGTCCATGCGCTTCCGCTCATACACGTCGGTCTCGAGGACTTCCAGCATGAACTCCAGCCAGACCTTCCAGAAGCGCCAACGATGGGGGTGAATTCTGCTGCAGTTGAAGGCCCAGCCCACGACGGACCAGAAGTCTTGCGCGCGCTGCCATATACTCTCCTCGTTAGCGAGTTTGTTGTTGGCTATCTGGTCTCCTTCGAGGTCGACGTCCTCTTCTTCGTGGTATCGGTTCCGGCGGCCGTATTGTGCGCCGTGGAATTGGAACGCATCCCTAAGGCCGGCATTAACGGGGCCGACGATGGCGAGCAGGTTCCGCAGGTAGGCCAGCACCTGCGAGCCGATCTCGAGACGTTCGGACCCGGCGGCTCGGGTGGTGTGGCTCGGATGGATGGCCAGCGTGTTGAGGAGGGCGAGGTGGGCCGGCGGCGGGACGTGGACAGGCTTCTTGAGTTTGTCCTTTCGTGAGTGGCCTGCCGTGAGGAGACCATTGTAGAGGCCAAGCGCACCACTGTCTAGATGCCTGTTAGCAGGAGTTGCCATGGTTGTGGGCGGGATGCGAATATACAGAGATGCTCTTCCAAATAAACTAGACAGTGCTCCTTCAGCTCGCGAGGGAGCTGGCTCGCGGAGGAATACATGGGCTTGAGTTGTGCGGGAGTTGCAGTTGCGCTCTTTGCATGAGCGACATCGGGTGACTGGAATGCAGTCCGAAACGACGCTGGAGACGATACGGCGGACACGTCCGACAGGGGCGATGAGAGCTCCATGGCGAGTCGTGGGCTTTTTGACGCGTCCGAGGTGGGTTGCGATAACGCGATGCTAGCAATTAAACTTGAGCGGGTGCCACGGGGGACCTTTCCGCAACTATCAGAAACCCACTATAAAGGCCCCGGTGCCGAGGTACCTACCAACAACCTAGGTACCTAGGTAGGGGGTACTTATACGTACCTGCTACAACACAGTAACAGCAGAATCGGCACGGGCTTGCCTCTCGCCACGCCATGAATACCTTCCTAGGTAGTTCTCCTCGTATCACTTCAAACTATCATTGTGTACCTGTCCGACCTTAAGAGGGACCGCCTGGATAACGTGCCATAGTGTCCCTTTACAAGCCACAACCATACGTACAATGGGACAGAGTATCAAGTGGAAGGTTCTCATAGACTTTGAATTGCGGGCGGTGCCTGGAAGTCTTTCTCCTGTCTGAGGTACCTTCGCAACACCCTAATTAACAACAAATTACGGATTGACAGCTAACCAACCATCCAACAGCATCAATGCGGAGAAATGTCCATCGTTGTCTTCACTGTGATCCCAATATCAGAGTTATAGAAGTGCGTGGCTGCCTAGCCTATTGCCTGATGAGAGCCGATGTCTATGCCAAACCCAAGTATTCTGTGAGCAACAGCCAATCTCCACCTCTCTCTGCAGCCCCCTTTAGACGCCGCAACTATTTGAACTCCTCGAACATGGCACCGATCGTGTCCTTCTCTCCATACGTGATAGCGTACACAGTCTCGGCGTAGCTTCTTGCGACCTGGCACAACTCGGGCGCAAGATTTTCGTAAATGTGGAACATCATGACAAAGGCATGGACGAGATATTCGTTGGCGTGGCCCCATTTCTTGATCTCCAGCGTTGGCTCGCCAGAGGCCTTTCCAAGGGGGTAGGCCACGACCTCAAAGCCGAGGGCCTCGAGGCCTTTGATCACCAACTCGAGGCCTTGGACAAACTTCCCTCTGTCAAGGCGCTTCTGGCCCAGTGCGAGGTAGATCTCCCAGGTCTCCAGACGCGGCGTTCCCTTACCATCGGGGTATGTGTCTTCCACTTGGGAAAGAAGCTTGAGCACCTTGGTCTCATGGGCTGCAGTTCTGCAGGCCCTTGTTGAGCTCTTCAAGTCCTTCATAAGCCGCTGGCGCTTCTGAATCGCCGGCTTCGAGGTCGCCTTCTTCTCTTCGCAGAGTTCACAACGGCAGATGAAACCCCAGCTCTTCAAACCAGCCTGGGTGGCCTGGTAGTCTGCTCCCTCTTCGGGCAGTCGGTACCCGAACAGCAATTCGGTGTCGGCATCGAGGTCTCTGCCAGCTCGCACGACCATTACGTCGCCGATGAAGGAGCGGAAGCAATTGCCGATGCAGGAGTGGTTGATGAAGGATGCTGTGGTCCAGATGCCGCAGGTGGTCTGGCTTTTGTCCTCTTGACCTTGGTTTGCCTTGTTCTTGAAGTACTCGAGGGTCGTTCGTGGAGCGCCGAAGCAGTTGAGGCTGATGATACGTTCGACAAGGAACCTATGGAAATGTCAGCAGCTGTGCTATAAAAGAGCATACGGTACGAAACCTTCACTTACGTATCAACCACCATCCGTTCTCCTTGAGAGGCATCCGCTACCTCGTAGTCTCCGTGGTGCAATTCCATGAAGCGCAAAGCGACCTCGGGGTTGTGGTACAGTTTCTGGACGACGGTGGAAACTAGTGTTGCCTGCCCACCCATTGTCATCTTCTTTGAGTCGAAGTTCACCAATATCTTCAGGTTCTTGGAAGCGGCGGGGTCATTCTGGTCGGCGAAGACGTACGAGAAGGCCTTCTCGCAGAGGAGCAGCTCTCCAACTTTGACGGCCTTTGTCGTGAAGAGTCCTCTTCCACGTCCGGGGGAGTCGCGAATCTCGACAGGGCTGGAGTAAGTCGCGCAGTCGATAATTGGGGGAGTTTCTTTGGCCTGCCTGTGCATGTGCTTCCACTTGAAGTTCCCAGTCGCTTGCTCGACGATCCTGCGTCCGGTCCGCTCAAGTTCCGTCTCTGCGTCCTTGTTTCCGGCGTTCAATGCCAGAACTTGTTGCAGCTTCCTGGCGCAGAGGTCGAACTGCTCCAGTGCATAGTGAGCCTTGGCTTCCCGGAACAGCCCCTTCTCGGTCGGAGTGTCACCGCTGCGGGCATGAACAGCATCGAGCAGCGCTTTTTCGGGGCGTTGAAGTCGTAGATTAGCCAGTGAGCGGTTGAGAAGAGCCGCGCGTTTGTGCTCTGGTGTTGCAGCAGCAGCGATTGCCTCAGTATAGCTTGCCATGAGTTAGCGCAAGTCACGTTTGTGCCAACGGTAATTCTACTCCATCGTACTCACAGCTTCTCTGCTCTTCCCCATTTCTTTTGTCCGACCGCAGCATTTCCGCGCGATCGAATATTCTCTGAGTCAGGAACAAAATGCGGTGCTGCTCTCCATCGTTTTGGGATGCGCTCATCGTCTCTAGCAAGCAGACAGAAGTCTCCAACATGGTCCACTCGCAAGCTGTATTTGCCATCTGTGCTCTTTTTGAAGAAGGGCTCCTTGATGAGACAGACGCTGTCCTGGGGTAGGATATCTTCGATATCGAACTCTGGCTCCTCCGGTTGGTTGTAAAGCTGGAGAAGAACCGCCGTACCTTCCTCGTCTTCCACGATGGCCATGATAA